CCTGCCCCCTCCCTTCTCCAAAGAGCACGGGCACGTTTCTTATTTTATTTTATTTTTGCTATTTTAAGTGATTTCTGGTTTCTGGGGAGCAGGAGAAAAGAGGCGCACTCACCTCCCGGATGGCCCCATCGCAAACCCGGATGACGTTGAGGAAAGTCGGCATCACTTGAGGCAGGAACTGCACACACTTCAGGCCAAGGGATTTGAAAATAAAGGTGATGGCCTGGACCACCATGGTGTGGTGATGGGACAAGGACTGGTCCCGGAAGATCCTCATGAGGGCCACCATGGAGACTGCCGGGTAGAACTCGTCCAGGGGGAGGTTTCCCATGTTAACCAGCATCTCACTGGTGCTGTAGTCAGCTGGAAAGGAGAGACTCTCCATTCAGTGTTGGCAGGGCACAACAGCTGACCAACAAGCAAGCCGAAACTGGACGGTTTGTAATGACTTTATAGATCTGAGGTGCAAGCAGGGTGGAGCTAGTCATCCAGTGCACTAGATGCCCTAATTTTAATTCCGATAATCCAATTGAAATGTACGATGGTTTTGTTTCTAAGCATCTAATGCAAGGGGTCTTCAAACTTGGCCCTTTGATGACTTGTGGACTTCAACTCCCAGAATTCCTCAGGCAGGCTCCCTGTTGAGCTGTGTTTCTCAACCTGGACTGTCTGAAGATGTACAGATGTCAGCTCCCAAGGAATTCTGGGAGTTGAAGTCCACACGTCATCAAAGGGCCAAGTTGGAAGACCCCTGCATTAAGGGGAAACCAAATGCACCCTGTTGGGGGGGGGGAGACAGAGAGCAACTAAACACGGCAGTTCTGGTAAAAGACTTAGGGCTGTTTTCTCTATCCAAATAGGGAAACTGCAAGGAGGTGGATCTCAATGAAATATTAGAATAAACTTCCTAAGTTCAATAGACCTTAGCACAGTGGTTCTCAACCTTTTTAATGCCGCGACCCCAACCGGTCGTAAGTCGAGGACTAAACCGGTCATAAGTCGAGGACTAAACCGGTCGTAAGTCGAAGACTAAACCGGTCGTAAGTCGAGGACTACCCAACCGGTCGTACGTCGAGGACTTTCCCTGCCCGGGAGCGCCGCGCATGCGTGGTTCCGCCCCCTGCGCCGGCCGAGGCGTAGCTGGCAAGCGGCAGAGACCGAGCAGGCCGACCACCAGCCCAAGGGAGGTAAGGCACCCGCCGGAAAAGGGGGGAAAAAATGGCAGACAAAAAAAATGGCGGACAAAAAAAATGGCGGACAGCCTTGCTTGGCGACCCCCGTGAAATGGTCGATCGACCCCAAATGGGGTCCCGACCCACAGGTTGAGAACCACTGCCTTAGCAGGCTGGAGCTAGTCATCAAGTGGACTAGATGCCCTAATTTTAATTCCGATAATCCAATTTAACTGTACAATGTTTTTTTTTTCTAAGCATCTAATGCAAAGGGTCTTCAAACCTGGCCCTTTGATGGCTTGTGGACTTCAACTCCCAGAATTCCTCAGCCAGGCAGGAATTCTGGGAGTTGAAGTCCACAAGTCATCAAAGGGCCAAGTTTGAAGACCCCTGACCTAATGCCACGCCCAAGCGAGCTAATTTCTGATTATTATTTTTTTAATCGAGCTACTAAATAACACAACGGCTTTTGGTGGTGTTTTTTTTTTAACAGAGGGTGGCTCAGAACGTTCTTTCCTCCGCTCACTTACAAGAATCCTGGCTGGATTTAGATTCGGAGAGGCTCACAGCCGAAGCATCCCTGGACTGGTCTATCATACCGATGTTCACCTTATGTTTATATGGGTCCAGAGCTCCCAAGAGGCCAAGGACACGAATAGCCTAATAGAGAAAGAAAAAAAAGGGATGGGTGGAATGAACATAAGACAAAGGATTCATCTGCACATTTGCACAATCGGTTTCCCGGGGCACACTTTTTCCTGATAGAGGATCGCGTGGCCCTGTTTTTCTTGGAGGCATGAAACACAAATAAAGCCACTTTTTCTCGGACGCATTTGAGGGAACTTTCCGAAGCCCGTCCTCCCTACTCAGCCTGCCAAGCGGAGAGAGCCAAGGAGGCCTACCTCTCTTCGGGTACCCTGGTTCTGCTCTGTTTTCAAGAAGTTCAGCAGCACCTCCAGGAGAGTGGGGTACTTCCTATAGGGTTCCACCACGTAGCCGGTGCTGGCTACCAGCTGTCCCAGGGTCCACAAAGCCACCTGCAAAAGACCCCACCCCACAAGAGAAAACAGAATTACAGCTCCATCTAAATCAGGGGTGTCAAACTCAATTTCATTGAGGGCCACATCAGCATTGTGGTTGCCCTCAGGGGGGGCGGCCTACTGGGTGGGCGTGGATGGAGTGGGAGTGGCCTACTGGGTTCTACATCGTTCCCGTCAAGGGGGCCTGTGGGGGCCTGGGCAGGAGTGGGACAGATCTGAGGGTCTCTGGCAGAAGGGGGGGGAACGGGGCAAGCGCCAAGGTATGGTCCATTTCTTCATTCCTCACAAAGGGTGACCCCTCCCCAGCATGCACCCAGGGGGCGGGGCCGACACGGCAGGGGCTGGTTCCTCGCTGTGTCCAGACAGCCTTGTGGAGCTAAGACTGAATGCATTTCAGCATAGATGGCCACCACAAAATTGGACATTGGCTCCCAGCCGGCCTGGGCCAGGGCCAAGGCAGCGGGGGCCGTTCCCTCACTGTTTCCAGGATGGCTTCGTGGGCCACATGAAACCACTTTGCGGGCCACATCCAGCCCCCGGGCCTTGTGTTTGACATGTCTGATCTAAATAGTTTGCTAAATAGCTTAGCCCAGTGGTGGCGAACCTATGGCACGGGTGCCAGAGGCGGCACTCGGAGCCCTCTCTGTGGGCACACGTGCCGTCACCTCAGCCCCGCCTCCCCCCGCAGCCCCCTCATCAGCAGCCCCCCGAGGAGAGTCACCCTCAGGTGCGGCCTGGGCAGAGCAGCGCAGCCAAACACATGGCAGCTGGGCAGCAGATGATGCTGCGGGGTGCGGGCGGAGGGCATGGCCACCATGGCGCTGCAGGGCCGCCTGGGCGATCTGCAGCGGGCCACAGATGGCCCTGACAGCGGGTAGGGTGAGGGTGGAGCAGGGTGGGGTGGGCGGGCGGAGCGGGGGCAGGGCGGGTTTGGGGCACTCGGTCTCTAAAAGGTTCGCCATCACTGGCTCAGCCACACTGACTAAAGAGTCGGGAGAGAAGTAAACAGCACGTCAGCTTCTCAAGCAGGCACCGATTTTATTTCTGCACAAAAGCAGTTCCATTTTTTTTTATTAAAAAAAAAAGCAAACAACACACAAACAGAAGCGATTTAAGAACGATATTGCCCATTTCAAGAGGGCAACGACACGGCTAAAAGACACGAAGAACAGCGGCAGGAATTGGGTATGTCTGGTTTAACGAAAAGGAGGAGTAAGGGTGACATGGTAGCAGTGTTGCAATATTTGAGGGGCTGCCCCAAAGAAGAGGGGCTCGACCTATTCTCCAGGGCACCCAGAGGCAGGACAAGGAGCAACAGGTGGAAACTAATCAAGGAGAGAAGCAGGAATTTCCTGACCGTGAGAAGAATTAACCTGTGGGATGGCTTGCCTCCAGATGTTGTGGGTGCTCCACCAGGTTTTTAAGAAGAGATTGGATAACCATCTGCCTGAAATGGTGTAAATCTTCTGCCTGAGCAGGGGGTTGGACTAGAGAATCTCCAAGGTCCCTTCCAACTCTTATTATTCTGTTATTCAGCCCAGGTGGAGAGATTCTGCCTTGAACTGCCCTGCAACCTCAAGGGGCTCATAAGCAGAGGAGATCATCCCTGACATCAAAAGTGTGTCTATGTGTGGAGGGGGCAATTTCTCAGCTTCAAGGAAGAGGCCACTCACCTGTCTTTTGGCCAGCAAGGAGGAGTCCTGGAGCATGTCCATGATGATGATGAACAGCTCATCCACCCACTTGCGCATCTCCAGCCCGCTCACCTATTGGGGAGGAAAAATCCGTATATGAAAAAGAAGCAGAGTCCGGAACGCAAAGGGCAGAAACGAGGCTGGGGATGGATGGTGTGGCGGGAAGGAAGGGACTCTTCTCCTTTCAGGAGCTGCTGAAAGAGGCTACCTGCGTAACTTACCTGGGCCAGTTCACCGATGGTAGCCAAGACGTTATTGATCACGCCGGGGTTTGGATCAGGATCTGGGTCTTTCAGCTTCACGATTAACGCCTGTTGAATGACAGCAGGTGAAAATGACGTCAAAAAGGATCACATGATATACAGGCAGTCCTTGACTTAAGGCAGGGGTCTTCAAACTAGGCCTTCAAACTCGGCCCTTTGATGACTTGTGGACTTCAACTCCCAGAATTCCATGCCTGGCTGAGGAATTCTGGGAGTTGAAGTCCACAAGTCATCAAAAGGACGAGTTTGAAGACCCCTGACTTAAGACCACAATGGAGCCTGGGATTTCTGTTCAAAAGTGAGGCATTTGTTGAAGAGGCTTTGCCCCAGTTTACGACCTTCCTTGCCTCAGTTGTTAAGTGAATCACTGCGGTTTGTAAGTTAGTAACCCGGTTATTAAGTGAAATCGGGCTTAGTCGTAAATACGAGCCAGTTTTGCCACTTTTTTTTTTTAAAAATAAAATTTTTATTGATTTTGATCAGGTGACCCTAGGCACGTAACTGTGAAAAATGGTCCCAAGTCACATTTTTCAGTGTCGTTGTTACTTTGGACGGTCGCTATGTCAGAGCATGCACAGCCTTATTGCGCCGAGATAACCCAGGAGTAAAGACAGCAAATAGTGGGCTGTATTAAATGGTGGTTTATCCTACACTATCTACAATACACACCGGGAACAATATACATCCATGTGGTAATACAGCAAACTCCAACATACAGTAGTTACAGCAGGAAACGGAAGAAAGAGAGAGAGACACTCCATCAAAAGCCTTCCCTTTTATACTCAGGCTCTTAAAGGGATACAGACCCTGCTTGCTCTTAAAGAGACACAGACCCTGCTGAGTCATTCCTATCATTGCATCATCCACTTTACATTACATCAGTTGGTTAGCCTTTAAATCAGCATGGCTGGCTCAGGAATTCTGGGAGTTGAAGTCCACGAGTCATAAAAGAGCCAAGGTTGCCTACCCCTGCTTTAAATCATTACCCTGACACACTACATGTACCGTTGTTAAGTCGAGGACTACTTGTACACATTTCTTTCTCATCCTATGGAGGAAAGGACATTTTAAGCTCTCTCCTCAGTAGGGGAGAGATGGGATGCAATCATTAAATCCGCCTTTCTTTCAACATGGCGGAAGAGAACAACTGAAGGCTGATGGCCCTGGAGGGCAAAGTGAAGGAGGCTACATCGCATGAACGAAGGGGTGTGTTTGGGGATTCAGAAAGTCACCCCCCACGGCCGCCTTACCTTGAGGATGGGTTCCATATAGGGGCGAATGAGCCGTGGGGCATTGGATACCAAGTGTCCCAACATCCTGGCACTCTGCTCTTTGATTCTGCCCACGCCACTGTGCTCCAGCTCGGTCAGGATCTGGAAGGGTGAAGGGGATGGTTCCAGGTTAACAGCAAGAGAAGGGAGAAAGGCATTTCAGCTCAGAAGTGGAAGGCAGATTTGTGTGAATTGGATGCCTTTATTCCTCAAAGGGCCAAAAATTGCTCCACTGAATTTTCTCCACCTGTTATTTATCACTACTAATATATCCACATGAGCAATAGCACACTTAAGCTTATATACCACTACATAGTGGTTTGCAGCCCTCTCTGAGCGGTTTACAGAGTCAGCCTATTGTCCCCAACAACCTGGGTCCTCATTTTACTGACCTCGGAAGGACAGAAGGCTGAGTCGACCTTGAGCGGGTCAGGATCGAACTCCTGGCAATCGGCAGAATTAGCCTGCAATGCTGCATCCTAACCACCGTGCCACCAGGGATACGAATCCACCATTAGTGGACATTAATGTACCCGCTCAGAATGGTCTCCCATTTTCTATCATTTCTGCTTCAGGGCAGAAAGAATCTTCAAGGGAGATGGGTGGGTTAAGAAATAGGAAATGTAAATAAATAAAAACAGTGAGAACTTCTGAAAACCCACAACTGTAGGTGTGGCATCGGAGCTGATGGCATGCTTACAAAGATAAATGAGAAACCAAAATGGTCCCATTTACCTCCGAGCTAGAGTTAAGTGATTTTTTGAGGGTATCGCCAGGGCAGACGGGGTTTGGGGCTTGCTGCCTCCTCCAATGCTCTTACCTGAATTAGCATTTTCCGGAGGAACGGCATGACAAAAGCCGGATTCATGCTGCTCAGCCGGCCCACGGTACAAATGGCCAGCTCCCGGATCTCAAACACCTGGTCGTTCAGAGCGACAAAAAGCGCTTGCAAGTTCTCCGCCTGGGCCAGGTGGGCGTCAAAGCGCTCGTCCAAGGACGCCAGCACGCAGAACCGGATGTCGGGGTCTGGAGAGGGCAGATTTGTACAGCAGGTAATAGAATAGAACAGAACAGAATAGAATGAAGACAGATGGGATGGGGACGGGAATAGAATAGAATAGAATAGAATAGAATAGAATAGAAATGGAATGGAATAGCTTTATTGTCGCTTTAAATGTACATTAACCAGCATACATTAAAATGAGATTTTGTTGCATACAGCAACAGATGCTTGGGAAAAGGATAGCCCAAGCAGGGAGCACCATTATCCAGTCCACTGACTCTTGGTTTGGTCCAGCACCATCTGCACAGACTACTGGTAATCCTCGACTTATGACCAAAATTGGGCCCCAAACGTCTGTTGCTAAGCAACCCACAAGCTCGGGGAACGAGCCCTTCACCCTCAATTCTGTCATATGCACCCTCTTCCCTGGCTCCTGATGCTCACCGGGGTCCGTGATGCCGACCACCAAGAGCTTGCTGAGGACATCAGCCACCACTTGGACCGCCGTCTGGCTGACCACGTGGGCGTGGCCACTGATCAGGTGAATGGAAGGCGTGAGTAAGCGGGAGCACGTCCGGGCTGCTTCCATGCGCACTTCCTTGTGCTCGCTGTTCAGGAAGTGATCCGCGCAGTGCCGGACGAACTGAGTCAAGGAATGCCCTAACGAAAGGAAGCAAAAGGGAAACGGGGAGGTATGGCCAGGCTCCCTTACCTGGCCCACAGCCTTTCTCCGTTGGATTTCTGCCTGCCTTACCTTCAAACTCGAAACTGCCCAGGGTGCGGAGGGCGAGCGTGATGCTGGCCACGTCGTTGGCCTCGGGAATGTTGGTGAGGCTGGGAGAAGCCAGCTGGTGGGCGAGGCCTTTCGGCATGCCCGGGTGGCGCAGCGGGCGATGCATCAGCACGAGGGACAGCATCTTCAGCAACCCGTCCTGGATCTCTTTCTTCAGCTGTGGGATCTGGCGACTCAGGTCGTACAGGACAGCGGTCAGCGCAGGGCTGAGGACAAGATGCAGAGACCCACAGATGAACAGTTGGTTGAGGCTTACGATCCTTGCGTAGATATTGTATTACTGTGCGGTTTGGATCTATTGCTGTTTCGGATAGGAAGGCCATGCAGAGAGTGGTGAGGACGGCAGAAAAAAATGATTGGATGAATTCAGTTACTCACAACTGAACCTGATGCTGCCTTCAGCTATCATGGAATTATCACAATGTCGGGTGATTAAGAGAGATAAACGCAAGCCCAAAGTAGGAGACAGGGTCTGCTGGACCTACCTCAGCCCCACAGCCAACATGGGCTCCAGAAGTTCTTTGATGTCTTGCTGAATGGAGGGACCCATTGCTCGTGCCAGCATGCTGATGCAGGTAAAAACAGTGGCATCCACCTGCATGGATTTCTGTCTCCTAAGGAGGCATGGGTTACATTTCTTGAAGCAAGCTAAACCTTCCATACACAACGGTGACTTAGCCACATTAACGATCCTCACCCCATCTTAACAGAAAGTTTAAAGGTAGCAGGGCTGTCCCAAAGGTGCTTTTTCAGGAAACAAATGGACTTTCTTGTTTTCTCTGAAGATGTTTTGCTTCTCATCCAAGAAGCCTCTTCAGTTCTGACTGGATGGTGGGGAATGGGCCATTTGCGCTTCGGTTGGAGATGCAGACAACGCAGACTCATCCCTGACAGCCTGCGCCCGTCTTCAACAGTGAAGGGACCCGGGGCAGAAAAACATCCTGCAGCCAAGAAGGCTCCACACCCATTGGCACCACTCAGCTGACACTGAGGACACAGACAAGCCTCCAAGTGGCCTCAACGGCTCTCTAAAAGGATGCAAATGACCAGGTATATAAACCCTTCATTCCTCACCATCCAGTCAGAGCTGAAGAAGCTTCTGGGATGAGGAGAGAAACATCTTCAAAAAAACCAAGGAAGTCCTGAAAAAGCACCTTGGGGACAACCAAGACCTGGATGATGGGGAATCTCCCTAGACAGTTAGCAGGGGTGGAAAAATAGCTGTGACTGTGACCACATGAGCTTCCCCAGCCAAAAGACCTGATGTAGGAAGTAGCTGTTTGGGGCAATGGGCTGGAGAGAGCCTCAAAGCTCCTATGGAATCTCTTCGCCCAAAATGAGAAGGAACGTCCGTTTGTGTTCATCAACGCCATCAACACTCAAGAGTTCAGAATTGTTTCAATGGTTCGGGTGTCCACGCTGCTAACATCGTATGTTTTTGCTTTGACAACAGTTACGAGATGCAACCATTTTCTACTTATGTTTTACTTTTAGAGTTAGATGATGCTGGGGGGAGGGGGAGGAATGTGCATGAGAGTTTAGCTAGACATAATAACACTGGACCTAGTGTGAGAACCAAGGTTATTGAAATAAGAGATGATAAGAATTGGCAGGCAGGAGAACTGGAGGGAAGGCCTGCATTTCAAGCGAATTGGAGAATGTGATTTGTGACTGTTAATTGGAGGAGGGAATTGTGCTTTGATACTATGTGCCCAGGGGAGGGGAACTCGGTTTTTGGCTTCGACTGTGTTAGTGCCGATGCAATGTTAATCAAATAAAGATTCTTTAAGATAAACAATGCCTGGAAGTTCTTTGAAGAGTTTCACCTCTCGGAACCATGACATTTAAAACGGGTGCCCAATCCTGAATATCTCACAATCTCTGGAAGCCCCTCACTTACTTGTGGGTGAAGTCCTTCAACGGGAGGGCCCCCTTGATAATTTCGAGAACCTTGGGCAGGTAAACCTGGAACTCTGACCGCACGGCTACAGAGAGCAAACCCAGGGCTTGGAAAGCAGCCGTCCGCTCTTTTTCCTTCTTCACGCAGCTCAAGACGTGGCTCATGGTGTCGGGAAGGTAGTGGTCAGCTAGCCGCCAACAGCAACGGAGGAGGATTAAAAACACACACTTGATTTAAGGAAACACAGACTGCTAATTCAGAGGATTCAAATATATTCCATTTTTTTTTAAAAAATGCAGGGAACCAACAAGGTAATCAGGGATGAACAGTACACACTTCACACGTGCCCAAGATGTCATTCCTCTAAGTCTGTAAGAATGTGGAGGAGGAGGTGTTTGGTGGCTTCCTGAATTAAACTTTAAACTACTTAGAAAATAGCAATAGTACTTAGACTTATATACTGCTTCACAGAGCTTTACAGCCCTCTCTAAGCCTATTTCCCCCCAACAACCTGGGTCCTCATTTTACCAACCTCAGAAGGATGGAAGGATGAGTCAACCTTAAATCTTTCTGGTGTCTCCTTCCCAAGTACCAACCTCAACCTCAGCTGTTTACCTGTGAAAGCAGAAGGGCGGAAAGCGGCCAGTCGTGGCAATAAGCTGAGGACAGTCATTTGAATCAAAGTGTTCTTGCTGCTTCGGCACTTCAGGACCCAGTAGCACACCTGTGAAAGAGGTTCCATTAATAGCTGAGGCAGCACCCTCAAAGCAACAAGGAAGCCACTTCAAATGTCAGCTGGGAGCAGGCAGGACAGCTTGAAAGCAGGAAGCGAGACAAAAGGCGAAGCTTTCCCAAGCATTTTCTCTTTTAAAATCTATATAAATAAAAATGTAAATGTTCGTTTGTTCAAAATCTTAAATCTCCGAAAGTTCTTCACCGATTGCTTTGAAATTTTGACGCAACTTTGCACTCGAATATGCGCGTGTTTTTATATACCTACTATTATATAGATGTCACACCTGTGACAGGTAAAAACATGCTTTTTTTGAAAAACAGCGCCATCTGTTGGACGTAAACATATTACAAACGTGCACTTTCTCTTTTCTTTCTTTTCCGTTTAACCAGACTGAGCCACAGCAACGCGTGGCCGGGTACAGCTAGTAACAAATAAGTTTCTCCTTTTTGCAGAAGATACTTGAACAGATGCTCAATCTGCAGTACTGGATAAACGCAGTTCTTGCGTCATTCTTTTGACAAGGCAGAATCTGCCGTCAATAACATCTCACCCAAACACAAAAAACGCACTTCCGTTTGGTTTTTGCATCCCAGCAAGAGGTAGCTGAAAGTCAGCTTTCAAAGGAGTTTTCTGCTAACTGGAATTTATCTGGATTTGCACCTCAAAAAAAGCCCAGTTCAAATCACAGTGGGGACCGACTGCCTTACCTGGGCTTTTCGGATGCTCTTCAAAAGCCCTTGCCATTGGAAGGGGGGGGGGGAAAACTCACCTGGTCAAACTTCTCCTCCATCAGCTCTCGGCAGCATCGGCTCTCCACCAAGGTTGACTTGGCCGGGACCGGTAACGCCCCAAATCCCAGGATTCCCGAGTGGGGGCTGTAGCCCAGAAGTCCAATCAGGGCGTTGCACTGTTGGGGCTGTACCGACTGGAAGCTGGAGAAGGGGGTGACGTGACGGGGCTTGGTGCCGAAGCCCAAAAGGTCCTTGCAGTATTTGTCGTGCACCAGCTGCTGCTGGGTGATTTCTTCCATCTCTTCCCTGAGACGCTAAATGGAGACAGGAAGCAGAGGGTTAAGACTGGGGGGGGGGCAAACAAGTAACAGGGGAGGCTGGCACCTCAGGATAGGAAATAGAGAAGGGCAGCCTTGTGGAATCAAAGTCACTGCTTATTGTATCCACTTAAGAGCCTCTAATGGCAGCAGCTGTTCAATTCTGTTGGGCAAAATTTTACTTTAGCATAGAGCAGAAATGTCAAACACAAGGCCCGGGGGCCGGATGCGGCCCGCGAAGTGGTTTCATGTGGCCCGCGAAGCCATCCTGGAAACAGTAAGGGAACGGCCCCCACTGCCTTGACCCTGGCCCAGGCCGGCCGGGGGCCAATGTACAATTTTGTGGTGGCCACCTTGGCACTTGCCCCGGTGGACCATGCCTTGGCACTTGCCCCGGTCCCACCCTCTTCTGCCAGAGACCCTCAGATCTGTCCCACTCCTGCCCAGGCCCCCACAGGCACCCTTGACACAAATGATGTAGAACTGGCCACACCCACCCAGTAGGCCACACCCACTCCATCCATACCCACCCAGTAGGCTCCACCCACTCTGGCCACACCCACCCGCCCCCCCCAAGGGCAACCACAATGCCGATGCGGCCCTCAGTGAAATTGAGTTTGACACCCCTGGCATAGAGGAACGATGGCGGTGGAGAACCACGTATCTTTCTGCAACTCTGCGCTGGAAAACT